TGTGTTTTAGCAAGTAAGCACAGAAAGTCAGCCAAGCACTAAAAAAAAGTCAGTTGCAGTTATTTCAGGGATGATACTTTGGGTTTTTTTGGTACTCCATTGTTGTATTTATAGATTCAAAAGAAATTACGTCTTATCTTCAAATGTAATTACCACAGAGGACATGGAAAATGGGATTTTCAAAGCAGCCCAAGGAAACTTGAGGACCCTGTTCTTAGTAGGCAGTCAAATAATATGCCGAGTGTCTTTTGGACAGACCAATGTTACTTGCAGTCTGTTACTCAGTGCGGGTTTGTTACAAGGGAGTCAGCCAACCATGTTTTTGCAGTATGAAGAGTTCTCGTAGTATAATGAAATATTTCACATCAAGTTCTGTTTGTTATGAAAAAGGATGTGCTTTCTAGTTTCTGCAGGGGGTGGGTTGTTTGAGGTGGGGATTTTTTGCTTTGTTTGGGTTTTTTGTTGGGTTTTTTTTTTCCCTGGACGGCATTATGGGCCAAGTGCTCAATCCTTTTATGTCAAAGGCAAAGTTTGATTTAAATGAGACCAGAATGCATGGGTATGTGCTATATCAGATATTTTTAAATGCATGCCACTTGAGATTGCAGAATTAAAAACACATTCATAAATAGTTGTTATTTATTTGAAGTCAGATCTCTGTGGGTCTATTTATGGTTTCAGGATAAGAAATTCTTACGCACAGTAGCAGGAGCTGATGAGTAAAACTTTCACATGGTTAGAAGAAAAATATGAGTTGTAATTTTCTGTTTCTTCAACCTAAAAAAAATTCATGAGTCTTGTAGCTGAGATATAAAATTAATTGTGCTTATTCAGGAGGACTTTAATCACACAATTTTAGTTTTCCATATGAACTATGATTATCTGTAATACCCAAAGGAGTCAATTCTCATAGAATGTTTTTCATCTGGCTTTGTCTTCTAGTTAAAATATATTTTTGATTTTGCCAGTGACCAAAATTAGATCTTTAATTAGATTTTTAATTTTTATTCTGTGGCTATATTAAGACCAGGAACACAAATGGATTATTGTGAATCCTGAAGTGTTCCCTTTTTTTGCTGCTGGAGTCCAGTTCCATACAATATTAGCAATCAGCTTTTATGCCAAAGCCAAGCAGTGACAGTTGCAATAATGAATATTTGCTGCAGGCCACTGGTATGAAAATAGCACAGTGCTGCAAGCCTGCGTCACCAGAAACAAATCTTCCATTTGACTGTGACTGAATTCCCAGCTCGATTTTAGATCATTTATTATTGAAACAGTTCTTAAAGCATTGTCATAATTTAATGTTAAGAAATGCTGATTCAGTCTTCAAGGCATCAATTCAAATGCCTTCCTATTCCTTTTTGGTGTTTTTGTTGTTGATTTGGTTTATGGGTTGGGTTGTTTTTTTAATCCGTTATACCTTTAATGCTGTGCCCTGTATTTAGGGCACTGAAATGTGTATAGGCAGCAGTACTGTAATATATTCAGAGAGACTCATGCTGGTTAGGTTAGAAGTTCTGGTGAGAAGAGGATTTGACTTTCCTCTTTGTAAGCTTAATTGACAGCTATTAGAATGTTTCCTCTTTAATTCCTGCAGATAATTCTAAAGTTTATATGAAGAGAAGCAGCTTTAAATCTGTGGTAGCTTTCATATGATGAACTTGGGTGGTTTTCTGTGTTTCAATGTCATTAATGCATTTGCATTAGTGGAATATATAATGTATTTATATAAGACACTTTTTGAAAGTACAGAATATATACACTGAACTTAGATTATTATTTTTAGTTGAATAATATGAAGAATTTAACTTTTTTAGTTTGATTTCTATATACAATGCTGCTTTCACATGTGCATCTCAAGATACCTGTAAATGGACTAACTAAATTGGTTGCATTTTCTTTTCACTTTAAAATAATTACATAGGGAAATACTAGATCAACATAGATCAAGGAGGTCAGATATTTGAAGCTGAATAAAATCTGCAGTTATTTAAGTTTTTGTTGTTTTTCATTGCCTCAGGTTTTCCTATGGGAAATAGTAAAATGAAGACGTGTATTATGCTTAGGGCAGAATACTGACCCTTGCACTGCAAAGCTGGTAAACGGTGTATGATGTACATACCTAATGTCTTGCAAGATTAGAATAAGCACCAAACTTCCCATTGGTCCTGAGAGAATGTTAATGTCTTTCCCTCCCCCTGGTGCCATCTGTCTTCTGCCTTCCTTTTTCACCAGGAAAGCACATTGGCTAAACCTACTACTGTATGGTAGGACCAGGATGGAGAAACTGAAGTTTTAAAAGCAGTGTTATGTACTGCTGGGTTTGGGCTTTTGAGGAAAATAATTTCACTGTGGCAACTTTCAACTGAAGGAAAGCCAACATTGACTTTCAGATTCTCTGGAATGGGAAAGGAGTGACTAGTTAAATGTATAATTTTGTGGACAGATCTACAAATGCTTCATTTACTCATCAGTTTCCCAATAAAAGGCTTAGTATTGTAAAACAGGGTTTTTTTAAACGTTGTTGTAAAATAGTGTAAAAAAATAATAAATAAGAACAGAATGTTCAGCAAGGTAACA